GTGAAAGTTACTTATTATATTGCATAGCTGAAAGCTTGGTGTAGACGACTTGATTTCAAATTCCTATGGGGAATTTGTTGAGACCCAAGCAAGGTTCATTCTCGAAGAGTGGGAATCAAAATAAAATTGAGTGGTACAGTGAGGCGTCTATTAGAGATGCCACATCACAAATAGCATGGCTTTGATCGCCAAAATGACATGTTGTGGTCATCCTTCTTATAAGAGGATTGAAATCTTTCTGTTAAGTGTTTTCGAAGAGGTATTCTGCACAGATCCTCGTTCGGGCAATCTTTCACATGAACTAGAAGAGCTTGGCACAGACTATCGTAAGAGGTCTACTTGCCCATAGTGACAAGGGCTACTTAACTCGTTTCACGATGAGACCTAGTGATTAAACATTTTTGCACTATTTTTTTAGGAAAAAAGGCCACAACTAGGAAACAAAGGCAAAGGCCTCTGATCAGTAAAATGTTGTTACTGAATCTCAGAGGCCGGAATAGTTTTTAGAGCTCAACGCAATAATAAAAAGGCTGTCAATAAGCTCCCTTATGCATCTCTATTTTCGCTTCTTTTTCTGTTTATTGGGCTAGCAAGGCCTTTTGATGAGTAATACCTGAGCCCATCTATTCATACTTAGGTATGTATTCTATACACTTATAATTTTTTTAAACTCTATTTTTAAATATGTGATGCCTTCACTCTTCTAATATGTCGTTCTATTTGGGGCTGAGAGCAGACAATGGCATCATCGTGATTGCCAACAGTGGCGTCAGGTTCATACCAACTGCATTAGAGGCTGAATATTCCAGTCAGGTGAGCACTGTGGTTGTCGGTGCAGTGATTACCTTCTTCAGTCTAATAATGCTACTTGACCTGGTCACAATTGGTCGAGATAATCATCTGCTTAAAGTAAGCCTGAGCCTACAAATTAAACGCTGGCGCTTATTCCGCCTGCGCAATAAAAAACTCCGAAAAAGAAGACTTCACGCTAATAAGCCGATTGTCTCCAACGACGATTGTCCAGCAGAGGCGACAACAACGGGCGGACCATTTGATTCACAGGCCATTTTGGAGACTGTAACCTGCAAAATGATCGGTCCAGAGATTGGGGTCATTCATATCCAGGACATAAAGCAAGCAGATGAAGCACAGGCGGAACTAGATGTGAAAGCAGACCAAACCTATGAACTGGATTACGAGAAAGAGTCTCCGTTAGAGAGCGAAAAATGTGGGGCCGACAGCATGCAAGGAGAAACTATTAAGCAACAAAATTGGTGTCACACTGATAATTATGCTTTGACCTCAGATATTTCGGTGAATGTACCTCTTCAAAATCGAGCAGTCATGTTTATGACAGAGGCCGAGGAAGAACAGGAATTATTTAATTAATGGCTTCTGGAATTTGTTCAGTTTATGGATGTGAACATGGACACTCTAGTAGATAGATAAGCACTTGAATCATTCCTCTCCTGTTAAGTCTGCTAAAATTCTTGCTACCTAAGCCCGCCCATGCATATAATAGCAACATTATTTTGGCCCTTCGTGAATTAAATAGGCCCAGTGATGTGTATGGTTAGAAAAAACATGGCAATATCTCTATCAAATGTATTTTGTTTATTCTACATCAACCATCCCCACCAAATTTGAGTACTAATAGCTTAACTTGCCTTACCAACCATGTGTCGATAGGTTGGAATGAACAATTGATCAATAAACAGTTTTACTGAAGATTACACTATATTGGCTAAATGCACTTAAAAATGCTACTTGATAATTTATATTTTTTTCTTCGCTATGAATTCGATCTAATAATATCGTTCTCAAAAATGTTTCATTTTGACGCTCATATAAGGCACATCGTGTGGCTGACAAGTTTTATATTCACTTAACTTCATTTCGGCTTTGTTTGCTTGTTCTGCGATCCACTAGCACTCGTGAATGTGTAATCGAGTGATAACTTTGCCGCAATGAGACTAAGGAGAGGTAAAACTGCAATACACTCTGGACGTACACCTTTTAGGTAAGGCTATGTGAAATTCGATGGCAAAGTGAGGCATACTTCAGACAGAGTGAGAAGATTCAACGACCTAAGATGATAAGCTCTTAATGGGCTGCCAAAATTGGCAGGAATTTATTTATATATACGAGATAAGCAAGGAAAAGGAAAATCTATAGCAAGCTTTATATTAAAGTTATTTGACCTTGTCTTCACAGTTTACTCATGCTGTCCATAGTACGTATGATAATCTCCCCAGTTGGAGCGTGGGCTTGGTACATCCCCAGACATTTCGCCGGCATCGGCATCGAGCCTAGCCAATCATAGCACCATATTACTACTTGTCAAGTCAAATGAAGTCGACCCTTTGATCAACCGTCTGCCAAACAGCTGTGGAATCCCTAGTGTCTTAGAGTATTCACCCATCCTATATCCTTGAAACAGCTCTTCATTAACACAATTTCCTATCTGGTTCAATTGTGCTCTTTTGAGCAGATCTGCTAAGACATATTCACGCTCCCCGTTGACCCCCTCAATCCCACTTGTGCTAAATGTTTATTAAGTCCGCAATCCTCTTCCTTCAGAATAGAATAAGTCAAAATATGGATCCTCAATTCTTTAATTAAAAATGACGCAAGCTTTGTATTACTTATTTCGTAAAAAAAGGAAAAATCAAATCTCCCTCAATTGTGACCAGATGAAAGACATCTAATCATTTAAGTAAAGGAAAACTTGGAACTGAAATTGTACTGCAAATCAACGGTCTTCTTTACGCATACATGGATGATTTCAAGTAGTTTTAAGTTTAATAACAAAAATGCTGCCGAATTATGTAGGATATAACTTGATTTAAATTTATAGAGTTCCATCACAACTTTCAGACTTATATATTAAGCTTCAAACGCCATTATGCTTCTAGAATTTAATGAAAAATTAAAATTAGCCTATTGCAATCGTAAAATAGTATTATGTACTTATTGTGATGCCTTGGCCAGGAACTTTTTTTTGAGCCTGCATTGAGCGATGAAACTCCTAAATCACTTAGGTAAGTAAACTAGTGATAAATAAGAATAATCAAAATTATGCCCCTTTTTTATCTGCGTCTAAGTTAACTTAAGATATGAAGAGAAACTGGGTTTGTAAGAATTCTTAAATGATCTATTGTCGCATGACTTTCCATTTCGAAGGGAAAGTTAGTTGGAGGAAATTCGTGATGTGGTTGGCCTAAAAAAACCGAGAAAGGATCGCCGTGTATGTTGGACTGTTGTATTGTGCCAAGAAGTCCTCGGCTAACCTTCGGGGCGACCCCAATGAACCTGCGCTAAGCTTTCGTCTGTACTGTGACAGACATCACCAGAGCACTAATCCATACTTTGCAACAAAGAGCAAAGATATACTAAACCAAAATAAAAGGTGGCCTGCTGCAACCCCAGTCGCCTTCTAATAGCCTTACAATCTTAATGAAAAATCTCGTGAGTTGATTGGCTACTTAAACCTTAATCTACAAGTTTGCAAATGAATGAAGCTACTTAACGAACCGGAAGTCTCAAAGCAACTACTCATTAAGATTAGGAGATAATTAGATTTCCATTATGAGTAACAAGATGAGGTGAACACATCTAGTCCGGAGTACATAGTATGCATTAAAAATTTTAGTCGGAAGGAGGACCTGGTACATTCCCATACATTTATCTGGCATCGTCGGTGAGCCTTGTAAGTCTTTACACCACACCACAACGCGTCAGAGGCAACTAAAGCCTATGACCAATTGTCTACTAAACAATTGTGGTATCTCTCCTTCTGCCCTGGGTTATTCACCAATCCGATATACTCGTATAACCCCTTCCCTATCACAATTTCTAATTTAAATGTGGCCTGGCGTGTGACTTCTTAGCGGATTTCATGAGAGCTCTCTAGAGCCTACGCCGGCTTTCTCAGCCCGCAATCCTCCCCTCAAGTCTGATAAAACACATCCATTGTTAGCCAAATAGCAATAATCTCCTCCGCGTCTATCCAGATTACCAAGTCTTTGACATCCTATGCCCTAGCCTCTTGTATGCCAACCCACAAATGCTGTGGTTATACTTGTTTTGAGTAAGCTCACTGTAGACGTCTCCTCCTGGCTTCTGATTATTCATTTCTGGTCTCTTGCAATTTCTTTTCCTAAAATTAAAGATGTTGCCTTGATCTAGTCGTCTGCTTTATGCTGATCTTTCTCTTGCCTGGTCTTCTCAGAGTTTGTTTAGGCAATATGCAAACTTTTCGCTTAGCCTGCCTTCATCAAGTCTCCTCTTCATTCGATTTCTTTCAGTCAGTATATCAATGGCATCTCGGATTTTGAGTTATCTCGTATTTTCACCAGATGCAGCCTGTTGATTTCAAGTCAATTTCGTGTCCCGTTCGTGCAATGTGATCTTTCAGTCTCCATGTTCCTGCAGAATCTTTGATGTTCCCGGATTCGTATGCCAATTTTTCTTCCTGTTTCACCAATATACTTCTGCTCACAGTTGCCACCTTTGATGCGATAAATTCCCGAGCAATCCAATTTGTCAGTCTTGTTTTGCGTAGGCAGACTGGTGTTATCACCTTGATATTCCATTTTCTCGGTAACGGTCGCAATCTTTTGCTCACTTCACAGGAGGGCAGGCATATCTACTTTTGGTTGTCCTCCTGACTCCTGATAGGATTTTCACAAAATCCGAGTTGGAATCTGCTCTTTTTAACCTTTACATTTTTTTAATATAAATTCTCTGGGGTACCCGCTACTAAGAGAAATTCGAGTTAATTTGTCCAACTCCTCGTCCCCTTAACTAAGTGTCAGTTAGTCATAAGCTTCTGATTATAAAACTCCTCAGTATTCAAATCTTCAATCTGTAGTTGTGGTGAGACTGAAAGTCAAGGATTATTCCTTCATCTTAATTCTTTCTATATGGTCTCCTCATGAGAGTCCCACTGGAACGCATGACTTCAATATCCAAAGAGTAGTCGTTCATCCTCCTCCACCTCCATTGTGAATTAAATTCTTTCATCAAGTTAGCTAACAAAATTAAAGAATTCATTTAAATTTTCCTTATCATGTAACCAGTGCAAGTAAAGTATGGCATAATCACTCCTGGTCACAGTGGTGACTTCTGGAATTCTTTTTCCAATTTGTCTGTGCATATATTTGCCAAAAGAGGTGAGTGGAGATCACATCGGCACTCCAAATATTTTCTCGTAGATACTCCGTTAAATCTAAAATACGCGGTCTTTGCTGTCAGGTTGATTAGTCGTATTAACGACCCCTTCCGCATCCGTTCTGTCTCCAGGATATCCTCGTCCCACTCCAATATCTCCAGCAGAGCGCTTATCGCCTTCTAACCTGAGATGTTTGGGTAATTGCATTGTACATCGAAACGTAGAAACAGTTCCGTCCCTACCAGCCCAATGTTTTGGATCCATTGAGAAAATTCATTTTAACAAACAATAGCACAAGCCCAAACATAAATCGCCATTAGAGGATCGTACACTAGTTTATTTGTATGAGGAAACAGCCGCCAGCAAATTCACTCCCGGTCCGTGAAGTAAGTTCCATCATCTACAAGTATGTAGAGTAAGTTTGAGGTAACAAACCAAATCATGGGATGTCTTATTATAATCGTAAGGTTATTAAAAGATGCATTAAAAGGCGACTAGAGCTGCACCAGGCCACCTTTTCTTTTGGTTTAATATATTTTTGCTGTATTTTGTAAAGTATGATTTTTTGCTCTGATGTCTTTCACAGTAAAGACGAAAGCTTAGCACAGGTTCATCGGGGTCGCCCCGACGGCTAGCCGAGAACTTCTTCGAACAATACAAGTCCCACCTACGCGACAATCCTACCTCGGTTTCCGGACAGGCCGCATCACGAATTCCCTCCAACCAACTTTTCCTTCGAAAAAAAAAGTCATGCCATATTAGTTACCTGAATCTCGAAACCCCGTGTGAGCATACAGAGACAAATTCAACTAAAAACGATATTGCACAATAAATAGGATTACGAATTTCTACTAATAGATAGGTCTCAAAAGCTCATCTACCAATCTTTTCTTAAGCGTAGGAATGAAAAGCAAAATCGTTCGTCCTTTGTTTTGGCCGCAGTCTCGCTCCGCTGCTCAGAACTGGTTTGACCCCATTTTGCCAACTTGATCGTATTTTCAGGCAGACTTCAGATAACGTACTCTATAGTGTGCCCCCTGACCATCTTTTAATGGGTTCTTCCCGCAGTGGCCAGTCTTTTCTATAGCTTTCAAAAGGTATTTAGAACAAACTATCTGGAGCACTCAATGCAAAAGTTGAACTATCTATTTTACTGAGGAATATCGGTGACACCCAGATTGACAAGAAAATATGCTTAAATGAATCGTTCAAATAA